CCATGGATGAACTAGCAACATCAACTGCTCACATCCAAATTTTCAAAATTTAAAATTATTGTAACCAGGAACAGATATGACATTAACGCCCAACCTAAGGAAAAAACAAAATCACGGAGACATAACCAAGACAACAAGTGAGAAAAAACTAAGAACTAATAATAGTATCATGAATAGCTTCTACATATAACATATTGTATAATTTCAAACCTCAGGTGAAGGACAACCTACAATGTGGCACATAACACAAAAACAACAAAGAATTTCATATTCAAGAACAAGAGAATTTTATATAATTTACAATTTTGAAAATTTTAAGATTAGAAAAATTCTTGCAACTTTGTGATGGTTGCATGTATTAGATGATCGTGATCAGCAGCACTAATATGGATCAATATTAGGACAGTTCAATAACACAAGACATATTTGATGAGACTGCCTGAAGATGGTCCCAAATGTGGACCAAAACATGTAGCAACTATAAAATAAAACCAATGTGAGCAGTTCAATTGGTTTATTTCTTTTTTCTGTTGTGTTGACAGCCAAATACCACCAATCATGATACAAAATGGTGAAGATAATCCATGAAGTACGTTAGTTACATAAAGGCCACCAGTACTGAAAGAGTATTCTATGAACCATTATAAACATATATATAAAGTACATATAGCAATGTTTCTGTAACAAATAAATATAACTATTGCTGATTATAAATTGGAAGCAATATCCTCTTCCACCTGTACCAAATCAGCAAACGTATAAATAATGGTTCAGGATTGTGACTAAGATTATCTCTATTCAATTGACCCAACTGAGTTTGTGCCCCCTAACCTGTCACCTGTGGATGGAAACATATCCAGTAACTGAACCGCTGTGTTCTTTTAGAATATTTAACAACAAACTGCCAAAACTCAGTAAACCCAAGCGTTATATACGACTATCAGAACCTTTCAGAATTTACGTATAAATAATATTTCAATGTTTAAACCTCAAGCTCCATGTGTATGACACTTGAAGTAAAATATCACACACACCTACATCCACCATACGTCTTTCAGAAATGTTACTTCAGTGTTTCTAAACCTAAATGATTCCAAATTTCATTCTATGCTTCCTCAGCTCACTAGCACAACTGATTACACTTCAACTATGCGATCCACTTCGTTTTTAAAAATATCACTCACCTAAACGGATATTAGTGCATCATACAGAATAAGTTTTGCACATAATACACTGCAAAATGTATAATTAATAATAAAGAGGTTACTTAACATTCAAATGAAAAAAACATGGTAACACCTGTCTGACGAAAGTCTGGATTTTCTGCGTATTAACAGCATTCATATGACTACATGCCACATAAAAATAAAGACGGACGAAGATACCACTTCAACTGCCTATAAACCTATACAGATATCCCGGTATTTGCATAACATATCGGTAAAAATTAATTAAAATAGGTTCTTGTCAGAACTGTTCAGAAAAGTGCAGCACAAAGAAGTTCATTACTAAAGTAATACTGCCTATAGACAACTGCATGGAGTTAAAAACTAATCTTACATATGAACTGAATACATACCAATAACTGTTTATTATTAATACACACGAACTTCAAATATTAAAAATAAAAAATATTCAACGAGGCAAGTAGGCAGGGTGCGGTTGCCATTCCGAACTTGGAATGAATAGATCTGTCGTTTGAATACTTACTATTGATGCACAGTTTCTCGGCACATAGCATCTAAATTTACAAATCACGGACACGTCTACACATACGTCAAACAATTTTCTTAAATTTACTGTCACACTATTAGATAAACCAAGACAGCCATCACAGTATTCAGATATTGTCATTGAATATAAACTTTCCCATTTAAGACGATCGTCCATGTGCGGCACCTATGAGCGACAATAAGGAACTATTGCTTGCCACATGCAATAGTAGGAAGAAAAATAATCTTGCGATTACGATATCCCAGTGTTCGTCGCCACCATAATAAAACCAATCTAGCCACATCGTTGACATGTGCGTTATGAAGTGTGGTATGAGATGTCAATGTTCATAAATAAGTGCAGGGCACAGCGATGAAACTGACAGTGCCCAACTCAAACACACTCAAAGGGAACTTGAATCGTCTCAGTTGGTTCAAAGGACTAAGAAAACCCTGAATCCTTCCAGTTTTATTAAAAAATCCACCGTATACTCTTTAGCGTTATTGTTTATTGTCATTAACATCTCACACTTGCACATTACAATATGCATTTCCTAATTCTTTAATTTTATTTTTACATCTGGTACCCTAGACTCTCACATTTAATTTGGATAATAAAGGTAACCTACAGCCATATGACCATCATTGGCTAGTAGTATATGAACTGTACATGATAATACGATCTTACCTTCACGACACAGTATGTGCCAAGATAACTTAAGCCACCTATGTGTTCCTGTTTTCATGGGTTCTTTATAAAATGCTAAAATGAATGCTTAATGGTAAAACTGTGTACTTATTCCCATCTTACCAATCCATAAGCTTCAATTCCACTTTTTAAAATGCGGATTATGTATTAATATTAAATGAGAAATAATGTAATGGACAACCAATGGCAAGTTGATGGGAGGAAACTGCCATGTTAAGGTGACATACATGTAGCTCTCATTAATTGCCACAACTTCTATTAAAACATCTTTCAAAATAATGATTAATGAATTTAGTTTGATATAGCTCATTACATCTCCCCCCCACCAACACAAAAAGCACACACAATATTTCACCTGCCCACAGCACGTGTTCTTTGTACAAAGTTCTAAAATAGAAAAGAAAGTTACCTGTCTGCCCACCCATGTTCCATTTTGAAAGCACAGAATGGATGTCAATGAAATTTGGTAAGAAGTGGTGTGAAACCAAATTATTTCCTGCTTTACGCCCACATCATCATCACATAAAAGTATTACAGACTCTTTTCCTAGACATAATTTATTGCCTCTTGAAACTAGTTGTTAAAAAGTGATTTTCAGATACTTATGTAAAGATACAGTGAATCACTAGTTAGACGGAATGCAGAAATCAATATACGACCTGCTTTATACACAAATTTCTCTTTCTTGTAGCAGGAGACAAGAAAAATTTTGTTCTATTTAGGAAAATACTGGGTACAGACTGGACGATCGAGGGGTCAGAGTTCATGACCGAGTAGGGTTAAGAATTTTCTCTTCTCCAAGTTGTCCAGACTGGCTCTAGGGTCCATGCAACCTCCTAACCAATGTGTATCAGGGGCTCTTTCCCAGGGGTGAAGCTGACCACTCGCCTTCAGCTAGTGCTGAAGTTAAGAAAATATGGATATATACATCCACTCCCCCATACGCCTTCACAGAATAGTGCTTAATTAGTAAAGTACAGGGACAAATTTACCATTTTATAAGAAAATAATAAGCATGTTAACAGAATGACTACATCCTTATCTGCCATTTTACAGGCATTACACACTTGAAATGTGTCAAAAATATTCATGAAGCACAGTGGTCAGATAGTGCCCAAATACATTCTCCCAGTAATCTGTACAGCTGTGTGACTTAACATTTTTTAGATATTAAAGTAAGAGATGTAAGAAAGTGTTCGACAGTCACACAGATTTACCCATTGATAGCATTATGGCTGGCTGGCTGGCTGGCTGGTAATCAGTCAGTCTGAATGTGACCACTGATATGCACAGACCTCTCATATTTTACCAAAACTTGATTACCATTTTATGATACATAAATATTAATTTATGACCTTGCGTGAAGTAAACTGCAGATCAGAAATTTCAGACAACTTCTGGTGAAAGACTCTGATGTTAAATTTTAGAACCTTTCCAATATTACAGACACCGCTAAGAGGTCACAGAAAAGGGGACAGACATGACATTCTTTTCAACTCTGTGAAGAAGGAAGGTTGCTGCGTTACATCAGAAAAAATGGACATAGCCAATACAAAATAACATTTGAAAAAGACCTCTATATTTTTATTTGACAACCTCCACTGGTAATCTCTTTTACAAGTTTAAATACTTACCTCTAAACTTACTGAAGCATTATTCTGCGCATACAAAATTATCCTCTTGACATTCCTACGAATTCAGTAGCTTCATTCATAATCCGACTTACGCATTTCTCAGAATTTATACTTTGTGTGTGCAGTAGTTAACTATGCTCAAAACGTCTTGCCATTCTATACTATGAAATATGTACCCACTTGTAAACTTCATATCATTGCATCTGAACAGAAAAACTTATCTGCTTACAATGCTCTAGAGCACCGGCAGTGCAAAGCATGTTCAGACATACGATGTTACACTCAGAGAGTAGGGAAATGATAATCTTAAAATGGATAATTGTTATTACTGCTACTGATATGTATTATCATAATAACACTTGTTAACCAACTATCAAAAAGGCACCACTAAGAGAAATACTGCCCTTCATTTGAAGTGTAGGTGAAACTTGCTAAAGAGCAGTCCTTAAAAGTGTAAAGCATATTAGCTTGTAGAGAGTGCAGTAATGTTCACCTCTTTAATAAAATCATATTATTTCTTTGTTGAACCTCTGTCCAAACAAATTACTAACTGCATTTACTACTTGTTATACAACAAGAACATAATTCAAAGCAGTTCTGCACAAAAAAGCAGGAACATAAAATTTGGTATTATGTGGTTTTGCCACGGGACACAAAACCCTATATGGCCTAACAGTCTTTTCATGATAACTGATGGACTTTGAAAAGAACGATGTAAACATTCAAATGCAGGAGCCCAAAAGCTTACATTAAAATAAAAGGTGGCACTTTACTTCAATAATTTTCCTGCTTCTTGAATTTATGCAAAGACAGCACTGAACAGTCACAAAACCAATGTGTGTACTCTGTTTTAAGCAAGCACAATGCTAAGTACCATTTAACAATATTCAGGAAGGAAGGACAATTGAGTTTAGGTGGAATATTTACTTAACAGAAACAAGAAAATCATTTCTCCAAGAAATATGTTTACTATAATAATATTTTATAAATAATATGTACAATAATACACAGAGGAAACAACACAGCACAGAACAATAATACAAATAATTAAAATTCTATATATGACCTCAATAATCGGTTTCAATTAAAGTTTAAACAACAGACATGAACAAATTCTTTGCTTTTGATGATCGTGCTGGCTCAGTTCTGTACATTCTGTGAATAATACTGACAAATTATTGGCAAAGAGCCAAATTAGGAGCTCCACACTATAATGGAAATCATGCATTTCTTGTATATGGTACACAAGAAGTTCAAGTAACACACCCAAAGGACAGTTCTTCAGACTATATTGCAACGGACACAAACACTGTCATCATCTGAATGCACGTGATGTTCAGTTCAACTAAAAGAACTGATGTCGCTTATTGAAGGCCATTTACATTATTGCAAGTTTACAGGACTAACATTAAAAAATAAATTAAATTAACTTAAACGGAATTCATGACATAAGCATATTCTTCTCGGCTGCCATACATACTGTACAGCACTGCATTATTTTCATGTTATAAATTAGCTTGATATGACCATTCCTCTTGGGTCCCATTCATACAAATAGATACAGACACACTTCTAACTTGGATACACTTTCAACTTCCCTCACCTTCTGCATATATTCACACTTTTCAAACAATAAATAACATAACAAATCTATTCTCTTCCACTTCTTTATAATTTACACACTTCCAACAGCAATTTGGTAAAAATTTCCTAACGAACGCTAGTCGAAGTAGAGTCTATAACCTTCGCTTGCGTGTCGCTAATTTGTCTACGATGGTAGACCATACGTATGTATCCGAACCTCTTCTATTGCTTTGCACCATTTTAGCGCATAGCCTTCTGGGTCTTCTAGGTAGTATGTTCGGTTAGGCTGTAAAACATAAGACAAACACATCAACAAAGACCTCTCATATTTTTTTTTTAATAATGTTATCAGGTCAATTCTAACAGGGCCTTCCACACTATGAAATTTGATAAATGAAATGCTAAAAGCCTCAAAATTTACATGATCCTTTCAAAGAAAATTAGTGATCACAATACCTGCCATTTTGTACCAAGTTTTACACTGGCATTCGTACTGTAAATCACTTATCAACTTCAATAACCAGATGTTATCTGAGGCAGAATTTTGGAAAGCATGCAAAGCATGGGTTAGGAACACGAACTAGTCCATTACTGATTTGTGGGTCTACACTACTTCACATTCTACACATTTCAAATCTTAGTTTATACTGCAGAGAATATAAAATATTTTTGTTGCTGGCAAAGAAGAATGAAGCAAAATTTTTGATAATGTATGTAAACCATGAACTACACTTGCTCATCGAATTACGACCTATGCAACTTACAACCAGCCACACTTAAAATCACAAAAAAAAAAGATAAATAAATTAATAATAAAGTTTTTAAAAATAAATTATAAAGATGATAAAAAGATTAGAAAAGTTAAAAAATACTGTTAATAAATATATGGCCAACATATGACCAGATCGGCTTACAACCTGTCAGAACAGAAGTTGGTTGTAAGTAGATGACCAAATGTACAGCATTAAGTAGTAATATCAGTAGTTGCCTTGTTATAATGAATGCATAGTGTATTATTTTTCCAGAACTTCTGTTCCTGTTATGTCCTATGTATTTACACTTCAAAAATATACCTTAGCTTCAGATCTTACCGTATGCACAAAGAAGATTTTGAAGTTCTTTGGTTCAACTCTAAGTTCAGGACTCCATGGAATCTCCCCTTTCAGAACCATATTTACAGGATCGGCATAATAAAGATGAGGTCCTAGTGTTAAGAGAAGCATCCTTCGCCTTGCAAACAACCCCTGCAAATCAAAGGAAAAAAAAGATACCTTTGTAGAATTCCAACAGGGATTACTTGGCCATGTACTAAAGCCTATTAAATATGCCTACAGCCCACTGTTTGAAATATACATTATGAGAGTTCATTTTAAGTTAGATGGTTCACTCCAACCAATAAACTCATATATATATAATATTCAATCCAGGCTATGTCCAAATGTACAGCTATCTGAAAAGTCTGGAACCGAACACCAAGTTTTTGTTTTTGAACCATGATGAATAATTCCTTCTAGGAGAGGAAACTTCTTTGGGTAACAGTGGATTTGAACATTACAATGAGGTAATCAAGGAAGCAATTTAACACTCAGGTTACTGATTTGGAATCGTTAAAACTGAACATAAAATGAGGGAAAATCTTAAACTAAACTGAGGAACATAACATTGGCATTTCCTTGTACTTTCTTTGTTGGTACATGAATGAACCTACAACCAAGCAGCAGATTAATCCAACAATCATCGAGCTGAACAGTTGTTCTAGCTTCAGAACGTGGAAGACTGAAAGTATTATCTAACATACGATGGGGTACCCAAAAGAAACTGAACTAATTTTTTTTGTTGGCAGAGCTTTTGTAGTACCGCGTTTTACCGCTATGAGCGCATAGAGCTAACATTCCTGAGTCGATAAGCCGACTACCGTTGCTTCAGAAGGTAAGGACTAGTTTCGGCAGAGTTTATAGTGACAACTGTTTTGTGTGATCGTCGTTTTTGCAATGGCTGATTTTTGTGAACAGTGTGCGGCGGTGAAATTCTGCTTTTTGCTCGGGAAAAGTGGAACAGAAACTCTTGAAATGTTAAAAACGGCGTACAAGGACGATGCTATGGGGAAAACTCAAGTGTTTGAGTGGTTTTCCCATTTCAAAAAT